CTCCTGTTCATTCTCGTCCTCGCTACTCAAGCCGCCGCCGTAGTTCGCCTTCTGTTTACCGCTGCCGCGCGTCTTCTGGATCATCGGATTGTGGGTCGCCTGCTTCTTCTCGGGTCGGACCACAGCGCTGCCTTCGTCGCTGCTGCTGCTGCTGTCCCCGGACTCTGCATCACAGAGCCGGCGCTTTCGGCGGCCCGCCGCCCCTTTCCGCCCAGGCTTTTTGAAAAGGAAGGTGCATACCTGGCCAGCCGAATTCCCAGGAGAAAGTTGCTCCGCCATTTGAGATCACCAAAGCTCTGAAACTGCCGCGGCGTACCGGACCTCTTCGCGTCGTCACAGTATTCTCTGCGGCGGTGATTCGGACAGGAGAAAAAGAGACGGCCGGGATACAGCCTGGTTACGATTGGCAGACGGAGAACGCCAGTCTCTTTTGAGCCCCTGCGGCCGCCGTCGCTTCCTCCTGAGTCATCCAGGGCGCCGCCCCTTCTGCCTGCTGCCGGAAGGGAGGTGAAACCCGGTCACCTCTGCGGAGCCGGTTGCGGTTTGGAGCGTGAGTAGCGGTGAGGAGATGTGGTTCGAGATTCTCCCTGGCCTCGCCATCATGGGCGTGTGCTTGGTCATTCCTGGGGTGTCCACTGCGTACATCCACAAGTTCACCAACGGGGGCAAGGTAAGGCTGCCTACTCGGCCGCGGTTGGGCTCTGGGGACCAGTGTTCTTCTAGGGACGGTGGGGGTACGGTGGCCGTTTGGATACGCAGCCGCTCTGTGAGGGTAAGGACTTGTAAGTGGGTCCTCCTCTTAGTGTTGCCTGAAAGCGGAGACTTGCGGATTCCACGTTTTACTTTAAAAAAAAAAAAACATAGCTAGTTTTTGGTTGAGGAAAAGTGGCCCCAACGGCAAAATATCCATTCGGCAGTTAGCAAGGTAGATTACAAGAGCCGGGCCCTAATTCCTAGGCTGACGAGAGAGGTGTTTAGCCGTGTCCCTTCTTCCTATCATCATTCATCTCCTCGTGGAAATCGTTTAATTGACTTGGTGGGTGTGTTTGTGCACGTGAGTGTAGGCGCCTGCGGAGATCAGAAGAGGGCACCGGGTCCCTTAGATCTGGAGTTACAGGAGGTTAGGAGGAACCAGAAGTGGGTGCCAGGAATCGGACTTAAGTCCTCTGCAGGAGGAACAGGCACTTAAGCAGTCTCTCCACCCCTGATCATTTTTATTTTTACGTGTTTGTGTGTATGTATGTGGGTGCAGGCGTGTCAAGGCGCACCTGTGGAGATCAGAACTTCAACGTGCCTGAATTGCGTTTCTCCTTCCACCATGTGGGTCCAGGGAATACAAGTCAGGTCCTCAGGCTTAGGGCAAGGGCCTTTACCCGATAACCCATCTGAAGCCTTCCCTCTGTTGGTTTAATTTCTCACACCCACATTTCTGTAGCTATATGTTCTGTATCCTTAATTGATCCTGCCTCCCTTTTAAACCTCCCGCTGAATTTGCAAGCCTTAAGGAACTCACATCATGACTTTCATTTTCCCTCTTCTGGGCCTCCCCAGCGGCTTTAGAGTACTATCAGATTATAATTTGATTTTTGTTTTGGTGTTGTAATTTTCTTTCCGGTGTAATCTACCTCTATTGTTTCTTAGGGTCCCAAAGCAACAGCTAGATCTTTTTTTTTTTTTTTTCCTTTCCTTCATTTTTCTCATTCTGTATGGCATGGCTTGCTTGGCCTTGAATTTGTGGATCCTCCTGCTATTACCTCCAGAGTGTTGGCATTACAGACATGAGCCACCACACCCAGCTGCCACTTTTTAACTTATAAAAGTTCAATTCTTTAGTGTGTGCAAGCTTTCAGAAATCTAAGGACAACTAGCAGGCATCAGTTGTCTCCTTCTACCTTGTGGTAGCAAGGATCTAATTCAAGTCTTCAGTGGCTCACCAGCAAAACAGAGCTGGGCTTGGTGGTTCTACCCTGTAATCATAGCACTCAGGAAGCTGAGGCAGGGAGATTGATAGTGACTGGAGGTCAACCTATGGCTGTATAGTGAGTTCCTGTCTCCAAAAAAAAAAAAAAAAAAAGTTACCAACTTAATCCTAAATATTAATGATCTGGTTTTATTTAGGAGATTTGGCTTTGTGTTGTCCACTTAGCTGTTGTTTCAATGATGACTCTGTTTTTCTAGTGAGTCATTTCTTTTTGTAAAAATTTATTATTATTTACATGTATGTGTGTCTGCTTCTGTCTGTGTGCACCATGGAGAGTGGAAGAGGCTATGCAGTCTCCCCTGGAATGGAGTAAAAAGCAGTTCTGAGTCTCCCCCGGCCCCCAAACAAAGTAAAAATTGTTGGTGCTGAGAAGCCAATTGAGTACCCAGGAATAGCAAGTGCTCTTAACCACTGAGCCATCTCTTCAGCCCCTAGTTTGTTGTTTAAGAAAAATTGTACATATATCTTTTTATTGAGTCACTCATATTTATAAACTACATTGTCCTTTATTTGAAGGAAAAAAGAGTTGTTCGACTTCGTTACCAGTGGTATTTGATGGAAAGAGATAGACGTGTCTCTGGAGTCAATCGCTACTATGAGTCCAGGGTAAGATGACTGAAAGATGGGGGTGGGTTCTGGTAATGCCTTGCCTAAGTTCATTCAGTACTTACTTAATTTGCATGTTTTTTTACTAGTGAAGTATGCAGTCTTTTATACATATAATGATCTTTGTTGGTGTGTTTTATGTGTGTGTAGTGTGCATTTGTACATGTGTGGGTACACTTCTCATGAATGTGCATGTACAGGACACTTTCCCATTTATTTACTTACTTGTTAGCTGTTTTTATTTATTTTTTTAGGCAGGGTCTCAATATTTAGCCTTGCCTTGCCTGGAACCTGTTATGTAGACCAAGCTGGCCTTGAACTCACAGATCGGCCTACCTCTGTTTGGTGCTGTTTTGTGAGACAGTTTAGTGTTTTGTCCTCTAATTCATGGAGGGGCCTATGTATGAGGATCCAGGAAGTGAATAGTTGCTTCACTGTAATTCCAGTTAGGGTGAAGAAAAGGCGTGTGTGTGTGTGTGTGTGTGTGTGTGTGTGTGTGTGTGTGTGTGTGTATGTGTATGTGTGTGTGTGTGTGTGTTTGCTGCTGTCAGAAAATGAAGTGAAGCAGGTATAGTTCGCACCCTAGCATCCTAGTATTTGGGACATGGAGGCAGTAGGATCAGGAGTTTACCTTTGGGTACATAGGGAGTTTAAGATGAACTTGGATTACATGAGACCTTGTCCAAGACAAAAGAAAAAGCCAGACTTTGAGGTCACCCAGGACTATGGAGTGAGACATTGTCTCAAAGGTCTCTATTTAGTGATTATGAAAACAATTCAGTTTATATTGTTGCAGTTAGAGAAATGTGGGATGTGAAATCACTTGCTTTAATAACAGAATGCCATTCTGTGACACTGGAAATAAGCAGTGTGGTACAATTTTTTATGGGAACAGAATTCTCACATTCTCCTTTTCAAATTGTTTTACAGGGCTTGGAGAATATTGACTAAGGAAGCATTTTCCTGGCTGATGAAAAAAAATTACTCAGCTATGGTCACCTATTCCTACTAGAAGGCAAATGCAGCATATTATATACTATGCGCATGTTATGTAATGCCTAATAAAAATTAAAGAAAAAAAACTAAAGTAATTTTTCCTTTTTATGAAGTAAAGTTGGGGTTTAATAAAGGTATTTTGATATATGGTTGAGAGAAATAGAAGCACTCTGAAGAAACTAAGATACATCTAAACACATAGTTTAGAGTGGGGTGTAGGCTTCATGCAGGGCATGTGCAACAGTCCTTGAGATCCAATGGGACACAGACTTAGCTTGGCCTGCCCTGCCAGAAACAATGGCAGCTTCCCTTAGAATAGGGAGGAAGAATCCCATGGAATTTCAAGGCACCATGCCTTGTGTACAGACAGATTTCACCTTCTCGCAGGTAAATGCCAGAGCATAGAGCAGTGGGGGTCCTACTCTATGCATGGTCAAAATTTAAGGTTATTTTTCTTAGAACATATTGTGCATATGTTTGTACTCTTGTTTAAGGTATTGTACCTATGCAGCTAATTTAAAAATGTAATGTAAATTTCTAGTCCTTGAAAGTTATTATTACTAACTATTTAGGATAATAAAGAAATGCAGGTTAGTAATTAGTTCCCCATAACAATCAAACTTGTAGTCATGTTTTCAAGGTCAAATAGAAATATATTTAAATAGATAGGTGGTCTTCAAACATTTCAAATACCTGCAGAATATAACATTTAAGATGTTTTAATAACATAAGGCTTTTCATAACAATGAGACATGTCTGCTCCTGGCAGCATCAATCTACTTCAGAGAAGATGGTGAGCATTGAAGAACCTCCATAAGGAGTTTCCTTTTTTTGTGGCAAAAGTTAGCCACTGGGCAAAAAACTGCTGACAGTATGCTGTCCAAACAGGACACAAAAGAAAGCAACTGCTGAATTTTGCCAAGAAAAGGCATGACAGTCCTTCAAAATTCCTACTTCACAGATAAGTCTATCAGATATGCTAGACCTGTAGGCCGAAGATGGATGCCCCAACGTTGCAGAGGAACCTTGGGTGACTGTCCAGGCAGCCAGCTGTTTGTGTCATTTCTCACATTTTTTGGAAGTCGCTTGTTTGTACTTCCTGTTTAACTAGTTAATATTATTTCCTTCTCGGGTCTCTGATGGAGTTGAAGACTAAATATTTATAGTTTTCCTTGTTACCAAATTCACAAAAGAAACTCACAAAAGAAGTGTAAAGTGTATAAGGTTGAGAGACATAAAAGTGTAAATTGTTTATCTAAGAAAATGTTTTGAGGTCTAAAAAAATAGTTTTGGGTTGGTAATACAAGTTAGGATACAAAGTGAATTAGGCAGAAAACTTTGGACTCACCAAGATAGAATAGATAACAAAGTATTTTCTCTGACTTTGCCAAATGCAAATGGACTGGACATTGTGAGTGTAATTTTTTTTTATTTTAAAGGGCATGGAAATATATGTGTTTCAGAATATTCAGGTTATGATATATTAAGAAATAGTTGATAAAATCATACTAAAATTTCATCTAGAAAAACTACCTCGTCGGGGAGAAAGGGGAGGAGGGTCTTAAAAACACTTATTGCCAAAGTTAACTTTCTATGAGAGAAGTCTAAAAATCATTTAGAGCTAACCAACCACATAGCAGCATAAAATGGGCACTTTCAAAAACTTGGGAAAATACTAAAAGCTAATTTTTTTTCCAAATAGGGAGGAGAGCTTTTACTTTTTACCATGGCAGTGTCAGGGGTCCCTGCGACATGCATCACACCTGCTCATGTCACAGTCACCAAAGCCAGCCAAGTAAGAGAACTGCCTGTTCGAATCTGCAGCCAAATATAGTGCAATTGTCGGGCAGCCTGTTCTCCACAGCACAGGCCCGAAGAGATCAGTAAGATAAAGCAGTGGAAGTAATAAAATTCTGTAAAACTTTCAAAAATTAAATGCTCCTTAAAGGCATTTACAGTGGTGAAGTCAGACATCTCCATTGAAAAGTCTATGGACCCACCTAGTTAAAAAGTGGCATGGAAAGGAAACAGGTCGTTTGGTTTTTCTCTCCCACCTATGCATACACCCCACTCAATGAACACAGGAAAAAGGAAATACTCCTCTTGTAAGACTAGATGCGGTGAATACCACAGCTAGCAAAATATCCCATAGAAACCCTCCTTGGAAAGTAAGTCCTTTAGAAAGTAAAGGCTGATCAGCCTTTGCACGTTGAGGTAAAAATTGTCCAGTGCATCAGAAAACATAATCTATGAGTTTCTATTCCTTTTTTTTTCTTTTCTTCTTCTTCTTCTTCTTTTTTTTTTTTTTTAAATGGCTCAGTTTTGTTGATGCATCAGACAGGGCTGCAAAGTACAGATTCAGTGCAACTATCTATTCCGAGCTGCTGGTAGGGACCACTTGAAATCAACGTGGCACTATCTAGAGGCAGTAGGCATCTGAAACATTGGAGAATGTGTGGGATGCCAAATTGGTTGAGTTCTTTTCCAAGACTCTCAGGCTTATACAGGCCTTTCAAATTGCTAATAGCTCCGGCCAAGCTACCTGTTTCATCTGTCCCTCGGACACCCCTCCACGGTAGTAGATGATGCGAGTGGGCTTGAAGCACGTGGACTTGTAGAACTGAATCAGTAGCTCCCGAGTCATGCTTGTCAGATCCTGCACGATCTCCTGACTGTAGAGGAGCTCCTGAGCAATCTCCTGCCGAGACGTCTGCACCCGAACTGTGGCACAATACCGGCTGGGGTGGCCGTCCATGCTGACCACTACAGCTGCGATAGACGGTTTCTTCCCGTCCCCAGCAGGCGGGTGAGTGACATCTGCTCCCAGGAAAATGACAGGCTGCTGGAACACTGAAGGCCTTTGATGAGGTACAAGTACATTGTTAATTCCTCCAAGCTTTGCGTTTATCTTCAGGCAAAGGTTGGAAAGGGTTTGGGGTGAGGTCTTCACAAGGTTTTTGACCTGGACACACTGTGTGGCCATACCTAAAAGGGTATCTCCAACACGCTTCACCTCCGCATATACTGGTGTCTTTCCCGGCAGGATAACCACTATCAGCTGCAGGCCCACATATGTCATTTTCAGATGTTTAAACATGGGCTCCACACTGTCGGCACCTTGTGCGTACTTGCAGAAGCATGGCTGACTCTGAATGGGCATCCCCGCATCCTTGGAGATTTTACGAAGCTGGTCAGTGAAACTCTTTAGCAAATCTTCCCTACATTGTTTCTGAGGCACAAAACAAGCCACTGCCCAAACTTTAATCTCAATGCCAGCATAAAACTGCTTTCCTCGCATGTCCCAGACACCCTGGTTGGGTGTGGCTACTGTTTTATCCCGGCCTCCGTACTGCAGCATGGGAGCTGGGAGGACCCTGCCTGTGAGCTCCGTCATCTCATTGTGGACAACGATCCCAAACTCCTTCAGGTATGGGTCAGGCCCACCCACCATGCTGTTGCTCTTTACCAGTCTACTGATTTCCTCCTGTCTGTCAGGAGCAGATCTTGCTGTGGCTTTGATCATTGTGGATGTCTGATTGTCTGTGAGCTTCTTTATACATCTCTGTCCTGCCACTATATTACAGACCTCAAGTGGCAAGTAGGTAGGCTTCTGTTCTTGTCCCACCTGAAGGCAGGGCAGATGGGGGTACTTCAGCTGCAGACTATACTTCTGCTTAAAATACTGAGCTACTGTACATTCCAGAGCCTGACCGTTTTCTAGCTGCAAAGGAAAGGTCGTCACCCAAGGTTCCTCTGCAACGTTGGGGCATCCATCTTGGGCCTACAGGTCTAGCAAGTTTGATGACTGGCTGGTCGTCTTGTCACATTACAAACTCAGTATTTTCGTTTCATCTGTCCACAGTGAGTCACCTCAACTTTGAGACCTACTGCAGATAACAAAGATTTCTCCACATACACACAAAAGGTCAATAATTTAATACAGGACCAAAGCTCTAATTTCTTTGGTAAACTTGACATGCTGGGAGTCCGTTAGAGGTTTCGTTTGTTCATTGATGTTCTGAATATCTAAAACCTCACACATGAACTCAATGATAGGCTGGGCCAGGTAGAAAGCAGTTGCAGATACATCAATATTGAGCATCATATTCCACATGGCAGGTCTCACAGACTGGTGAAAGCCGGACCAGACCTCTCTGCCGCCTCCCAGAGGGTGGTAATAACCTTCAGGAGGTGAGAAAAAAGAACGGCCCACAGGAGTGTACCTCATAGAGGAGAGATGCCTTGTAATAACATCAAGTGCTTGTACTGAGTCGTCTGGGACTTCATTCAGGTGCCCAGCTAAAGCCTCCAAAAGCAACTGAAGGCTCACAACTGACACCCACTGCACAGACACTTGGAAAGTTTGGTCTTTACCCTCACCTGGAAGGGTCACCTCCATGTCAACCCTGTCCCGTCCAATTGGCAGTGGATGTGCTGTGTACATGTTTCTTTTGCCATCATAGCCGGGCTGCCGATCCCCAAATATCTGCATCTTGAAGTGTCGCACCATAGTCCCTGTTGGAGGCCGTTTTTCTGGTTTAATATCCACATCATAGTGATACACATCTATTTTAGGGATCTGAACCTGAAAATGATTGGCTAACAGTCGAATTGGCTTCCCAACAGTTCCAAGGCCAGGACGACGAGGTGGCTGGAAAAGGCTGGCTGGAGGTCC